ACACACACACACACACACACACACATATATATATTCAGAAAGCCATTCAACAGAGCATGCTGAAAACAGTATGGATAACATGACCCCATTTTGTTAAAATACATACATATGAAGATACATTAATTCTTGCTGTATATATCATAAAGACTATACACTAAATTATTTATAGCAGCTATAGTGAGTGGTAGATTATAATTTTATTATCTACATTAAAATTTTTAATTATACTTCAAATACCAGAAAACTATAGGAAAAAATAATAAATGACCATGAACTATCAAATTTTAACATTTTACCATATTTGGTTTAGATTTTCTTAAAGAAATAAAACACAGGCCGGGCGTGGTGGCTCACGCCTATAATCCCAGCACTTTGGGAGCCCGAGGCAGGTGGATCACAAGGTCAGGAGTTCAAGACCAGCCTGAACAACATGGAGAAACCCTGTCTCTACTAAAAATACAAAAATTAGCTGGACGTGGTGGCGCACACCTGTAATCCCAGCTACTCAGGAGGCTGAGGCAGGAGAATCTCTTGAACTCAGGAAGCGGAGGTTGCAGTGAGCTGAGATCATGCCACTGCACTCCAGCCTGGGTGACAGAGCGAGACTCAGTCTCAAAAAAAAAAAATAAAATAAATCATTAAAAAAAAAAAGAAATAAAACACAGATACAATTTAAGCCTCTTTCCCTCTCCAATCCCATTTTATCCTTTCCCAGAAAAAAAACACACAATCTTAAATTTAGTTTTCATCATCCTCATGCATATTATTCCACTGTAATTACAAATGCATGTATCCAGAAATAATATATAGTCTGTCTCTGCATGTTTTAAATTTTGTATGTTAGTTATGCTATTTTCTAGTTTTTCTAAAATAAGTATTGTTCCCAAGTTATTTTTAAAATAATTATGGAAATGCAGAAAATGCAACTTTTTAGGTAGTGCAGACACCCTGCACTATGTCAGAATTCCAGGCCTGAGAAAACATATTTATCAATCATATGTTTTATAAAGTCAGAACTATAACCATCATAAAATCTTGATGTCCTCGCATAGAGCTAGCATATAGTAAGTGTTCAAAAATATCTGTGAAACGAAATGAATCTACAACTCAGTCTTGGGATAGAACTGGATATTATGGGATTATTCATAGTCAGATAGGACAGGGGTCCCCCAAAATGGGGAGGCTTTACAAACTTTAGTGGCTAGATTTCAAGCATTTACTCCAGAAGCTTTCTACTCTCTCCTCTGCCATAGTAAACAAACAATAAGAAGCAAACATTTACCATGGCAGGTTCTGTTCAGACTGGTGCTGATATTATGAATAATGCAGGATATCATGATAATTCAGCATTCAACTTTCAATTGAAAAACAGCAACAGGGCAGGCATGGTGGCTCATGCCTATAATCCCAGCACTTTGGGAGGCCAAGGCAGGCAGATCACCGGAGGTCAGGAATTTGAGACCATACCTGGCCAACATGGTGAAACCCCGTCCCTACAAAATATACAAAAATTAGACTGGGCACAGCGGCTCACACCTGTAATCTCAGCACTTTGGGAGGCAGAGGTGAGCGGATCACCTGAGGTCAGGAGTTCGAGACCAGCCAGACCGACATGGAGAAACCTCGTCTCTACTAAAAATACAAAATTAGCTGGGCGTGGTGGTGCCTGTCTGCAATCCCAGCTACTCAGGAGGCTGAGGCAAAATAATCACTTGAACCCGGGAGGTGGAGGTTGCAGTGAGCCAACATCGCACCACTGCACTCCAGCCTGGGCAACAAGAACAAAACTCTACCTCAAAAAAAAAAAAGAAAAAAAAAAATACGAAAATTAGCTGGACACGGTGGCGTGCGCCTGAAGTCCCAGCTACTCAGGAGGCTGAAACAGGAGAATCACTTGAATTCAGGAAGGAGAGGTTACAGTGAGCTGAGACTGTGCCACTGCACTCCAGCCTGGTTGACAGAGCGAGACTCCGTCTCCAGAAAAAAAAAAACCAATAACAGAAATGGCAAAAGGTCTGCTATTATTTTCCACCTGTTCAAGATTTCCAGAGGTCCTATTTATAGGAGACGCTCAGGACTGAATTTAGTCAACTCACACTTATTGCATTACATTTATTTTATACTGTGGTAGGGTAGAAATAATTTTTATATCATTAAACTACTTACATGAAAGTGCAGGATAATTGTCCAAATTAGGCCAAGGATAATAGATGGGTTTCCATCAATGATATCAGTAACATGAATATTTATTAGCTTAATCTGGAAAACAAGAAATGCAGGTTAAAAGGAGGAAATATTCCAGAGCATTAATCTCTCCTGTGAATTTTTAAGTAAAATTTATACTTACTGATCGGTTTCTTAGGAATGTCAAGGCATGTTCTATATTGATTCTACACTGGAATGTATTAGATCCTTTATCCCGAGGCTGTGAAATTCAAGCAAATATATTACTCACAAAAAAATGAAATATATATTTTTTAAATCAACAAAAAGTCTCTCAGTGTCATTTAAAAATCTTACCAACTGTTGCCCAGAAAGTACTTCTAGCAGATCCAGGAGGACATGCCCCTTTTTAATGTCTGTAAATAGGTCGGATATAACCGAGGGAGAAGTGTGCTGCAGAAGGTCACAAGAAAAATAATCATTCAAACTGTGGTCCAAAAACCACACCTTTAAGGATCTCATAAATGTGCTTTGTGAAAAACTAAAATTCAGTAATGACTTTCTTCTTAATTAAGAGAATGAGAAAGAACATGCAAAGATTCGTATCAAAACATAAGAAAAGCAGCAAATTTAAATTATCTTATGGCAAATTTCCAGTAACACAACACCCTTTCTGCATGGAGCTTTCACTGAGAGCTTAAAACCTGTGCACACAAGCGGCATTAAAGACGTTTAGAATCAGTCACTAGTGACCCATCTGGAGAGCAGATTACATTTCTGGAGTAACCTGCTTATGTATTTACCCTTTGTTAGAATTATAAGCATCGTGTTGAAACGGACAGAGAGAAAACAGTGTGCGTGGTCTGTGAGAAGAGTCTCATTCATCATGCATCTAGGTTACTCTAGATACTCAGCATCAGTGTGGTAGGATGGCACCGTGATTACGATCAAGGCCGCCGAGTCCAGACTGTCTGGGTTCATATCCCAGCACTATCACTTCTAAGCTCTGTGACCACATGCAAGTCACATCCCTTCTCTGTACTGAAGTTTCCTTGACCTTTAAACAGGTATATTACTATCTATCTCATAGGGATGTCGTGAAATCATTTGTCAGGTGTTGTCACAATCATTACTTTTAAAGACTTCAGGACAGTTTCTAATATATAACATTCATTATATGCAAATCAGTATTACTATTATTTCACTTGAAGAGATGTGATTAAATATTTTATAGCACTGTCCCATATCCTCAACAAAAGTACTTTTTTGTCTGTGCGAGAAAGAGTAACAAATAAATCAAAACAAGATCAAGATAACTTTTAAAACATCTTCTTTCAAGAAAAGACATTCCACAACCTTTTCCCTGTCATCACCAGTACCGTTTTTTAATGGCCTCCTTGGGGTCAAAAGAGAAGGAGTATGGGGGAGTAACAAACAGATTAACAACCTAATTTGGTCTTTGTTTGCTTACCCTGGCCAACTGTGAGTTTATCCAGCACGTGAAGGCCTTCTTCTGGGTGTCTTCCTGTTCAGCTACCAAAGAAGGAACAACAGCAGTTACAAAACCAGAAGCCTCAGAAACCTCCTGCACATATCAGAGCTTCAGAGGTCTGTCATACCGGGTGTGTGCCTGTGTTTCACAAGCTGACAAACTTTCCAGGATTTAGTCTAAATTGTAGATGTTTGTCCAAGTAGTGTTTTAAAAAGCATGTTGATAGGATATTTTTTTAAAAACCGTGGGTTTGTTGACAAGACAATGGTTTTTAATATTTTTTACTGACTAAAGAATTAGGACCACGGTGCTATGGTTCACACCTGTAATCCCAGCACTTGGGAGGCCGAGGTAAGCAGATTGTTTGAGCTCAGGAGTTCGAGACCAGCCTGGGCAACATAGAGAAATCTCATCTTTACAAAAAATACAAAAATTAGCTAGGCGTGGTGGCATGAACCTGTGAGGGGGGAAGATGGTTTGAGCCCGGGAAGTCAAGGCTGCATAAGTCGTGATTATGCCCCTGCACTGCAGTCTGGTCAACAGAGTAAGACTCTGTCTCATTTAAAAAAAAAAAAGAAAAGAAAAAACAACTGAGACCCTATACCACCTTGACAGTACTGTACAAAGTACTGTGAACAGCAACAGGAGTTCCTAACCCACAAAGACTTTAAGTTTAAGCCAAAACCATGCAGTAAAGATGATCCCAGAATATAAGAAGATATTTTAAATGGCACATAAAATCATTACGGTTTAGTCTTAACATTTATCACGGAGAATATATTGCCACTGAATTAACTGTAAATGAGCTGTAATTAGAGAGAACTGAGTTCAAATCCTGTTTCTGTTATGGAGTAGCTGTGTGACCTTGAGCAGTGTCCTTGTTTAATAAAAAAGTAATAGGCATTTGTCTCTAGAGATTGTTATGAGAATCTAATGATTCACTTAAAGTGATTAGCATAGACTCTGGTACATAAGAAGTGCTGGCTATTACTCTTACTAAACATGTAGGGGTTGGACATGGTGATTCACGCCTGTAATCTCAACACTTTGGGAGGCCAAGGCTGGTGGATCACCTGAGGTCAAGAGTTCGAGACCAGTCTGAGCAACATGGGGAATCCCCATCTCTAATAAAAATGCAAAAATTAGCCGGGCGTGGTGGCACATGCCTGAGTAGGCCCAGCTACTCAGGAGGCTGAGACAGGAGAATCATTTGAACCCAGGAGGCAGAGGTTGCAGTGAGCTGAGATCGTGCCACTGTACTGCAGCCTGGGTGACCATGCGTGACTTCGTCTCAAAAAAAAAAAAAAGAAAAAAGAAAAAAAACAACCCAGGTAGGAGTCAAGGGGAAGACCTGAACCCTCAGAGTACAGCCCTTCTTGCCCCTCTGAGCAGGAGTGGGCCCCACACTGACACCATGCCTCCTCTAGCCCTCTACCCCCTGGATTTTCAGCAGACATTCTTGACACCGAGGTTAAGGGTTAGCCCTGCACTCATGAACTGAGCTTCCATCTCCCCAGGCCTCCTCACCTGGATGGGCAGGGATAAGCATAGGCCCAGACACCCACTGCATCCTATGCCCAATGCTTACGGCCTTGCCACCATCAACCTCAAGTTCACCGGACCTCATCTCACTATACCCTTTATCCTTGCTTATATCAGCCAGTGCATGCACACATGCACACACTCACATGCATGCATGCAAACACACACATAAGCACACGTGTATATACATGCACACATGCACACACACGCACATACACTCTAGACTCTCAGGTCCCTCTCATTTCTTTCTCTCTAATTCCCAAAAGACTGTGCATATCCCCCCAACTTTTCTCATCTCCCACCTCTCCTTAAGTTCTAAAATGCTTCCAATGATGATGAAATCTGTGGTGGGCCATCAGCAAAATCCCCTCCGTGCCCAATACCCTCTCTGGTGTTGAGGCTTTGCCTTCCTGCTCTCATGGAAACCTGGCCCTCCTTTGAGAATACCGCTTCCCCTGCAGCCCTCTCAAGTGGCGGCTTTGCTTTCTCTTGCAGCCCTCGTACCACTCTTTTCTCACTCCTCATGGCCACCTCCAGTTCATCCTCTACCCTCTTTGTCCCTGAAATCCCCTAGCTTTGAGTCTCATGTCATCAGACTATCCTTGCTATCACAATTGTTACGTACCGCTATCATTTCCCACCTTCTCTGCTCCTTCTCCACTGTCACTCTGTCCAATAGAACTCCTGTCTAACTCGTAGTACTTTCTTATTTACTTATTTTTAGACAGGGTCTCACTCTGCTGATCAAGATGGAGTGCAGGGGTGTGATCATGGCTCACTGCAGCCTTGCCCTCCCAGGGTCCCAAGTAGCTGGGACTACACACGTGTACTGCCATGTCCAGCTAATTTTTTAAATTTTTTGTAGAGATGGGTGTCACCATGTTACCCAGGCTGGTCTCAAACTCCTAGGCTCAAGCAATCCTCCCAATTCACCTCCCAAAGTGCTGGGATTACAGGCATAAGCCATCATACCTGGCCTTATTCTTGGCAATTTCAGTATACACAGCAATGAACTTTCCAATGTCCTGGCCCCACAGCTTCTCGAATTCCTCCTCTCCAACACACTTGTCTTCTGCCCTGCGTCAACCACTTTGCTGTCATGGTTATACCCCAGACTTTGTCATTACTAATAACAACTCCTCCATGATCTCAAGTTCATGCATCTCCAATCAGTTCACTCGTTCTAGTGCCCCAACTCCAATAATCCTTTCAGTTCATCGACAATTCCAAGCCATTGACTCTGCCAGTTTTTCAGTGTCCCTCAACCCCAGGATGCCCTACGTTTCATTCTTATCCATTTTAAGTTCCATGATCGATTATTACCAACACTCCCTGCATTTCACCTATTTTGTTCTATTCGCTTTGACACTTCATGACTACTCTGTGCACTTCATCCTACAAACAGGTTGCTGAATGTGGCTGGAGAAACCCACTGAACAGTGTTCACTGATCTCACCAGCACCCCCAGTGGACCCTAAATGCTGCCCAGTAATCACACTGTATGGCCCTCTCCCCCTCCCCAGATGGCAATTTCACCCCTTTTCTTCTTCCACAAACGTCCAGTACCTCCCCCACATCATTAAACTCAGCTGAGACCTTGCTTCCCACTCCCTCATCTAATAACCTGCAAAAGTGCTCTGCCTCCAACCTGTCAGCACAGATGAACTAGCCTTGCTCAGATCTAAAGCCAATCCTTTCACTTGTCCACTATATCCCATCCCTGTGCTCCAATGTGAGAACATGCTGTTCCTGCCTCTTCTGTATCCTCTTCCCCTACTCTCTTAGACAATTCCCATGAGTATACAGCCATACTGTTAATTCTCCCATCCAAAAACAAACCTCTCTTGACGCCAGATCCCCACCACCCATCGTTTCATTTGTCTGCTCCTTTGTGGCAAAATTCCTCAAATAGTTTGTGTTTACTGTCTCCAGGTCTTCTCCTCCCTCACTCTTAACTGAACCCATACCAATCAAGTCCCTGCCATTCAACTGAAACAGCTTTCTCATCATGGTCACTTGAATCAAGGTCCTTGATGACCCACTCTCGCTAAAACCAATGGTCTATTCTCAACCTTCATCCTGCTGGACCCATCAGCAGCATCTGATACAGATGATCACTCTCCTCTCCTGCTTCCAGGACCCAGACTCCTGATTTTCCTCCTTCATCAAGGTTGCTCCACCCTTTCTTTCACGTTTCATATCTAATGCCTCCGGATATCCTCTTAGGTCCACCCCTCACAATATATTCAGGATATGACCACTTCCCACCACCTCCATCACCACCACCGTGGCCCAAGTCACCATCACCTCCACCTGGGTAACTGCGACAGATTCCTAACAGATCTTCCTTCCAGCTTTGCCCCAAAATATTCTGCTCAGCAGAGCAGGCAGAGTGATGTTGCTAAAATGTTCACTCAGATCAGGAAACTCCTTTGCTCAAAACCCTGCAAGGGCTCCTCTCTTCACTCCTAATGGCGACAAGCCCCAGCACTATCTGCCCTTACCTGCTTCCCACTTGCTCCTCCTGCTCCAACCACTCTGGCCTCCTGTTTTCCTCAAACTCCCCAGACCCATTCCCACCTTAGGCTTTGGCACCAGCTGTTCTTTCTTCTGGGAATGTTCTTTCTACAGTTATCCACAGGCGAATTCCCTCACCTCCTTCAAATCCTGGCACACACAACACCTCATCTAAGAGGTCTACCCTGACTGTCCGACCTAAAACTATAACACCCCCAACTCCCGATCCCTCTTGTCCTGCTCTATTCTTTTTTCCCAGAGTACTTATCTCTTTTAACATTCCAGGTAAATTACTCATGCAGTAAGTTTATTGTTAATGTCTCACTCACCTCTCAATAGAATTTAAGCACCACAACACAGGCAAAGATGCTTCGTCTGTGATATGTCCCAAGTGCCTAGAAAAGCTTGACCCAGAATAGGCCCTAAATAAATATTTTCTGAAATAATAATAATGTTTTGGGCTCACGCCTGTAATCCCAGGACTTTCGGAGGCTGAGGCGGGCGGATCATGAGGTCAGGATTTCGAGACCAGTGTGGCCAACATGGTGAAATCCCATCTCTACTAAAAATACAAAAATTAGCTGGGCATGGTGGCAGGCACCTGCAATCCCAGCTACTCAGGAGGCTAAGGCAGGAGAATTGCTTGAACCTGGGAGGGAGAGATTGCAGTGAGCCGAGATTGTGCCTGGGCAACAGAGTGAGACTCCATCTCAATAATAATAATAATAATAAATGTTTTGTCTTCTTTTTTAGATTTAGTAGAGATGACATCTGACTCTGTTGCCCAGGCTGGTCTTGAACTCCTGGACTTAAGTGATCTTCCCATGTTGGCCTCCCGAAGTGCTGGAATTACAAGGGTGAGGCACCACACCTAACCTAATAATAATGTTTTTAATTATTATTGTGGTTGTTATATTTTACTATATTGAAGCAAATCTACCTTTATGAGTTCACAGTCCTTTCTCTTAAAGTTGTCTGTTCT